AAAGCTTATTTCAGTTCAACAAAGATCTACTAGAACTACTTACAGGAATACATTAGATATCAATGCGGGTCTCTTCATTTAATGCAGTAGACTTTCTGTTATGTCAAGCCTATTCGCTGTATAATAAATTCTGTCCAAAGTCACAAAAATATTTTAAAAATTCCCACCAATTTGGGCCATTTAAAAAAAATGATAATGTTTATGGATCCTTAAAAACCAGATATGAAGTAACATGTTGTGACAGAATACAAAAATAAAAACCAACACAGATTTCCACTAAATACTAGGCACTAAACTATTAATAGCTACTTTATATTCATGATGTCATCATTCTCAAATAAATCATTTGGGTTTGATATTATTGCCCTCTTCATTTTACAGACAAAACAGAAGAACGGATCAATTGTCTTGCCCCAAATCACAAGCTAAGAAAGGGTGCCAGGATCTGAACTAGAGATGCTTTTAAAAGCACATTATAATCTTAAGTTGTACGTTGCTGGAGTTATTTTGGATTTTCATAACAAATCAGTATGTGTTTTCATTGCTAGAGCACTGCTCCACCATGTGAATTTATTAAGATACTTTGGTGTCCCAAAGTCAGCTGTGGTAATCATGATTTCCCTGTCAATCCTTGCACAGAGGAATAAGAATGAAAGTGGTCACAGGCATGGCAGGACATGTATATGCGACTTATTAAAAACTTTCTTCTTGTAGTTTTATGTTTACAGATGGCTGGCTTGGAGAAGGTGAAAAGAGATGGTTATTTTTGTTTGATATGTCCCAGACAAAAAAAAAAATTGAAAGTCAATTCTTTCAAACATACAAATCTGAACTCTGGTTCACTTTAGGTAGATTTCAATACGCTATACATGGAGAGCTATGAACATAACACTTTGTTTAGTTTTTCTGAATGGTTAAAAAAAAGTCACACCAAAAAGAAACTTAAAAATCCCTTTGTTGATTAATGCTAATCAACAAAGCTATTGATAGTTTTTTAAAAATCAGAAATTCCTCAGTGCTTTGAGTCAAAATTGAGCTTTGTGTCTTCAGAAGTATTCCTCCAAGGTTAAAAAATGAATATTCAACTCAATTAGGTCAACCGAGTCAATTTTCTTCTTTAGTGGAGGAAATGATAGATCAAATGTGTTCTATTGGAGAACCAGTAAGTTAATGAAGGATACAGTAGTAGGCAATACATGACCCACTGGGATAGAATACAGAGTTACAGACAGTTAAAGGGAGGTGTCACCAATTTTTTTTGCTGCTGTTGTTTTTGAAACAGGGTCTCACTGTTGCCCAGGCTGGAGTGTGGTGGGACGATCTCAGCTCACTACAACCTTTGCCTTCCAGGCACAGGCCATCCCCCAACCTCATCTTCCCACCTCATCCTCTTGGGTAGCTAGCTAGGACTACAGGTGTGCTTTTGCAGAGATGGAGTTTCACCATGTTGCCCAGGCTGGTCTTAAACTCCTGAGTTCAAGTGATCTGCCCACCTTGGCCTCCCAAAGTTCTGGAATTACAAGTGTGAGCCACTGTTCCTGGCCTTTTTGTTTTTAACTTTAGTTTGATACTTTTTCCTTTTTTCTGCCTCTCTCAGGTGGTTCTATACACAAGTTATAGTAAATTCAAAACAAATGAAATTTCACATAACTTATAATTCATTATAATTCATTAACTCTACCGATATGCCTTGTTTTATAAACATATAAACAATTATGTGTATAGTCCTGTATTTGCTCTACAAATGGAAAAACAAAACATTTATACTTACTGGAAAGAACAGTTGTAAGGAAAATGTAGTCTGAAAAGGAAATGAGTCCACATTCTCCAAGGGTGTAAAATATACTGCCTTCATCAGCAAATTTTTCTCGTTCCTGGGAAATTTTCTATAAAATGTATCGGTTCCACCAAAAGACAAAAATATATAAGTGAATTAGAATATAAATAGTAAGAGATGAATTACCATTTATCTGAAGTTTTACGCTATTTATCATAAGCGTTTCTCTGATGGCCATTCAAAAATCAATGGATCCTTTGCAGTTTTCAAGATGATGAAAATTTCAAGACAAAAATTATTTTTTCATTTTAACACTGGCTCAATATGAACACTAGAAAATAATTTCTATGTTAGAACCCTCTACCACTGAGCATTGTATATGTTCATATACAGGCCCACTTCAGAACAGGTTTTGTTTCTCAGTTTGAAAAACAATCCACCTTCTTCTACAGAGGTATAAATAGTAGTAAACAAGCAAACACGCACATGAAAAAACTAAAAGGAAATCAGTTTTGTCCAAGAAAAACTATACTGAAATGATTAGAAAGGAAGAAGTGAGCAACTATTTCCAAGGTCCATACAAATGCTCAGAAAACCAATTTCTGAAATACTAATTGTAATTTTACTTTGTAACTCCAAGAATCTCGGTTTCAGAATATAGAACAGTATGCAGAGTGAATAGCATCTCTGAAATATAATGACAAATCAGACGTGCACACTTTCAGCACAATTTAATCATATTTACTGTTACCTTAACTATGGCTCCTAAATTTCAGCTATTTGATGAAACTGTCTCCTAAAACTTAGTTTTTACTCTAAATATATAGTTTTTTTTTTCTTTAGTCTATAAATCTCACAAAGAAAGTTAGTTCTCAGCTTTAATAATTATCTGCCTGGCAAGTGGTCTCTTCCTGGGTGTTTAAACAAGCTCACCCTGTTTTCTGAATTCTTAGCCAAAGCATAAACTTAGTGGTGACATTGAATATATTTTCAAAAACTGAAAAGGATCCACCAAAAGTTAGACTTGAAACTAATTTCCACAAGTTCTCGACCACCAAAAATATTTAAGGAATTATTCTAAGTATAAAATAATAGATTTTAAAACCCCAAACCAATAAAGCACAATCAAAGTAATAATGTCATGCAAGCATAAAGTAAGAGGCAGCATTGCAAGCATAACTTCAAGAGGAATATCATGAAAACTAAACCAACAAGCACCATCACAACAGCATCCAGTTACACAACTATCCAATGGGTTACCTCTGTCTAGTGGAGATCCCATCATAAACCACAAAGGAAAGAAAACTGGTTAACCAACTGAAAATACAAGTAGTACCAACGAATCATCATGAAGTCGGTTTGCATGATCTTCTTAATAAACTCATTCAAAATAGCCTCTACTAGATATTTACTTATTCATAAGAACAGTAGCTATGGACAGGTGAATACCAACAACACAGTTCTAGGTTTTGATGGCGCTTCTACTTAGGAGAACTTCACTGACTTCTTTCGTGGCTGACAGAAGGCACAGTACTGTTTGATAGCATTTAGAGATTACTTCTTTGAGTTGACAACAAAAATTAGCATAGTCCAGTATGTTCTTACTAAGGTTAGATCTCATACCACACTTGATCTAACAAGAGACTGAACAGAAATTTCAGACAAAAAAAGCTACTGGACGAGAACTAGAACAGCAAATCTTTCCACCAGGGAGTTAATATTTAAATTTCTCAAAATAGAAGAAAAAAAAGTTGTATTTTTCACATTACCCAAGATAATGCAAAAGTAAGGTATGTGAACAGAAAAAAATGTACAAAATGAGAATAGGTGTCCAAAGGCTATTACCAGCCATAATAATAAATGTGTATAGAAGCTAATACTTAATGATGTAATAAGCTTATGGGGAAATTGCTATAAGTAATTAAAATAAATAATACAGTGGAAGCCACAGGTTGAGAAACAGACAAAAGTCTAAGGATATAGTGAAATGAGGCAGCTAAGCCAAAGAAGCATACCTAACATTATTTTTCAAACATCACCTGGGCCATGCTGATGCCGAGAAGATAACACAAAGACAAATCCAAGTTTGTTGGTAACAAAATTTAAGTATAACTTCAAACTCACAGAAAAGTTGAAAGGTTAGTATAAATTCACCAACAGTTTACATATTCCACAATTTGCCTTGTATTTTTTCAGTGTGCCACTTTGAAAGTAAACTGGAAACACCATACCCCTTTACCCTTAGATACCTCAGCATAGATTTACTAGGAACAAAGACATTCTCTAATGTTCACAATCCCAAATGCCATAATCCCCAAAGATCAAAATTTCTAAAGCCTAAAATCCCCAAAATGTAATTCTGATACATAATTTATAACACAGTATACACTTAATACAACCAGGAAATTTAGTATTGATACACATACTATTATCTAATCCAGTCCTTTTTTTTTTTTTTTTTTGAGATGGAGTCCCTGTCACCCAAGCTGGAGTGCAGTGGCACGATCTCAGCTCACTGCAACCTCTGCCTCCCAGGTTCAAGCCTCAGCCTCCTAAGTAGCTGGGACTACAGGCATACACCACCATGCCCGTCTAATTTTTGTAAAGACAGGGTTTTGCCATGTTGGCAAGGCTGGTCTCAAACTCCTGGTCTACCCATCTTGGCCTCCCAAAGTGCTGGGATTACAGGTGTAAGCCACTATGACCAGCCAAATCCAGTCCATTTCCAGATTTAACAAACTGTCCCAATAATTTCCTTTATGGCTGTTTTCTCCAGATTAAAAATGTAATCCACAACCATAAACTGCATTTAGTTATCATGTCTCTTTAGCCTCCATTAATAAAGAACAGCCTTCTTTGTCCTTCTTTATTTTTTCCTGTAGGAGGTTTATTGGTTTTGATTGTGATTTTAACCATTTAACCACACAATACATGGGCCTTTTAGGTTTTGTTTCTTTCACTTAACATGTTTTTTAGGTTCACCAGGCTGTAGCATGAATCAATATTTAATTCCTTTTCATTGCCAAATAATATTCACTGTGTGGGGAGCTGATCATAACACTGTATCAAAACACTATAATCCAGAATGTTGAAATCCCCAAAGATCAAAATTCCTAAGTCTAAAATCCCAAAAATATAATTTTGGAAAAAATAAAAATTCTTTAAAAGTTATTTGCTTACATTTTTAAAGGGGATGTGAGAAACATAAAAATGTGGCAGAAGATGAACCATATTCACAAAGAAATGGCTCAAAGGGGAAATGTGTAAATGTCTTTTACTAGTTAGTAATTGTATGTGTCCCAGCTTTATAACTGCAGTCATCTGAAATACCCGGAGAACAAACCTAATTCTTTCGATGAGATCACTTAAAAAACACAATGGGTTGGCCGAGCGTGGTGGCTCACGCCTGTAATCCAAGCACTTTGGAGGCCAAGGCGGGTGGATCACCTGAGGTCGGGAGTTCAAGACCAGCCTGACCAACATGGTGAAACCGCATCTTTAAAAAAAAAAAAAACAAAACCACAATGGGTCATCACTGCATACACAGTTGCCCAAAGAGCTGGGATCTTGAGAAATTTTATCTCTCACAAATGCAGAGGAGGTACAAACCAGGTAATTTCTTCATTTATGGAGGAAGTTTCAATGTTTTTACGTAAGTGCACAATGCTTACACACAATCAACGCTGTGATAACGCACTTTCCTGAAGTCAAATTTCTGATATCCAAAGCAGCAGCAGAAAAGTCTGTCCCAGCTTTCAGAGACCCATTTGTTCTCTCCAGACCCCTACCTGATTGGATGGTGCCCACCAACACTGAGGGCAGATCTTCCCCATCTAAATCCAATCATATTCACATGCTATCTCCTCTCCCTAACAGAAACACCCAAAATAATGCTATACCAGGTTTCTAGGTATTCCTTGATCTAGTCAAGGTGACATTTAAAATCACTGACACCTAAAATTAAGTCCACAAGTTTACCCTTGTCAACCTGGCACCCATACACAGCTCCTTAAGCCATACTTAACTCCCATTGATATACTTCAGGGGTGTTATGGAGGCATATTCCAAGGAGAACATAATCTTCCTTATTAGGTTGGTAATAATGTTCATTTTCTCTCACCGCTACAGAAGTAGTTATTTAAATTTTTTGTTCTTGTTGTTTTCCTTTTCTCTTTTTATTTTCTGAGACGGAGTCTTGCTCTGTCCCCCAGGCTGGAGTGCAATGGTGAGACCTTGGCTCACTACAACCTCTGCCTCCCGGGTTCAAGCGATTCTCTGCTTCAGCTTCCTAAGTAGCTGGGATTACAGGCACATGCCATCACACTCAGCTAATTTTTGTATTTTTAGTAGAGACAGGGTTTCACCATGTTGGCGAGGCTAGTTTCAAACTCCTGACCTCAAGTGATCCACCTGGCCTTGGCCTCCCAAAGTGCTGGAATTACAGGCATGGGCCACCATACCCAGCCTGTTTTGTTTTTTTTTTTTTTAATTATGTTATTGTATTACAAACAAATTGTAATATACAGATTTATATTAATGTGTAATTTTTACTGGAAAGTATAACCTAAGGATTTATATTTAATTCAATGTATGTAATAAATTCAAATATAATAAACTGTAAGAAAGAAATTTTTGAATATAAATGTTGAAAGAAATAGAATATACTTCAATTCTATTGTAAGGGTATATAATGTGAGATTAGGTAAGAAATTATCAGTTCAGTTAAAAAAATTTTTGGTAAGGGTCTATGAGAATTTATTTCACCTTCAAGTTCCTGAGGTAAGACTCTAGCAATCTTCAGTATACATGCTAAAAATTATTTAAATAGAATTGGATATTCTTTTTTTTTTTTTTTTTGAGATGGAGTCTTGCTCTGTTGCCCAAGCTGAAGTGCAGTGGCGTGATCCTGGCTCACAGCAAACTCTGCCTCCTGGGTTCAGGCAATTCTCCTGCCTCCCGAGTAGCTGGGGATTACAGGCGTGTGCCAGCACACCTAGCTAATTTTTGTATTTTTAGCAGAGTCAGAGTTTTACCATATTGACCAGGCTGGTCTTGACTTCTGACCTCAAGTGATCTGCCCTCCTCGGCCTCTCAAAGTGCTGGGATTACCGGTGTGAGCCACTGCAACCGGCCAGAACTAGATATTCTTAAAAGAGCCTGTAACTCCATATACCTTACAGAGCATTATGTTATTTTATGTAGCTTAGAAGTTACATTTCAAACTTGATCCCAATCACTTGAATCACTGAAATTAAGGATACAGAAGCAGAATGCAGGTCAAATGGCAAGAATAGCATTTCTATTCAATTTACTGACAAATGTTACCCCTTCTTGGAGAACAAAATTATGCACAATGTTTTAAAGCAATGTGCTCACTAACTTAACAAAATGTAACTGTTTTACTATTCACTGATGTGAATGAACTAGTCTTAAATCTTATTTCAAAATTTAAAATGTAATTATAGGTACACTATCACCAACATGTTCAAATTCCTGATAAGTAAAATCAAATGGATCTTATCACAGGTTTCTGGTATATATCTCAACTGCACCATACCCTGAATATATTTATTTTTCAGATAAGCAGAAAGACTTGAAAGTAAACTTATTACATAGCAAATAATATACTACACATGTGTAATTGCTACGCTTCACAGTGAGTCAAAAACCTGGATTACTTTACCAGATGACTTTATGCTGAAGCACCCACACTTGGGTTTCTGATCAATCACATAAACTTATAAAATATGTGGCTAAAACTGCCAGTGCCATGAGGGGTACAAGGACTGGGATTTGCAGACTCATGAGTGCTAAGTGTACTCAAACAGTAAATCCTAACTAGTTACAGGGTTGATCAAAATAGGGTTAATAATTTTGCCTTCTGGGACTCAAGTAGATGAAACCAAAGAGAGAAATCATATCTAGAAACTTATTATTTCTTCTAGTTAAGATCTAATTTTCAAGTTATAAAGTTCAAAAAACCTTTTTCTATTTAATAGAAGTTGATGGACTATATCTGCAAAATCAATGTTTACATATCATCCAGAAATTCAAAACATCTTTGGCATATAGAAAATCTGATTATTTAAAATAGGTGACATCCTTTATGGGGCTGAAACATTTGGATTATTTTAGTATTAATATTTCTCTACGTTGCTGAAATACATTTCAGTCTATCTAAATCCCTTGAGTAATATTTAAGGTTGTACATCAAAAACAAATTAATGATAATATGCTTCTTCTGGGAAATACAATTTTGGCATGCTATTTCCAAATGATAAATAGTATTTCTACTTAAGGTTGGGGTCAAGGTGTGTGGTGGGGTGTTAGAAAGAAAGAGAAAATTCAGCAATTTTCCCATGCAATTAATGTGCACACTTCATCATCTAGTTGGTATATGGATAGATGCCAAAGCCTTGATAAAACATCAATCTTAAACAATCACACTATTCCCAGTCAAATTTAAAATGCTGCACAGCTAAAATATATTATTCTTATTCCCCACCCCATCTCTGAACTTGCAGAAAGGTAGAATTTGGGGATATGCCAGATAATAATGAAATCAAAATATTTCTAATTTGAAGTAGTTTATGATTCCTCCTTCGGACTCAGATTTTCTTCTAAGCTTTTCACAGGTAATATTGAATTTGGGGCAAACACATAAATTACTGTGCAACAAATTGGAAGGTGAATGCTTAAGATACTGTAAACTTCACTATGCCAGAAAGCAATTCTCTTTTCAGTCCCAAATCTAACCACCCTAGCTGTGAGAACAATTCCAAATACCTGGAATGCAAATGTTTTCCTATCTCATTAACTAGATGGCTTCAGAGAAGATGGTACAAATGAAGATGTTTTTAAAAAACAGATGATTTGATTAAAAAGCAGTAATAAAACATTTTAAAAGTCTACTGGAATGGCACTAACTTTAAGGAAATGATACAACTTTGCTGAAAAGGTTTATTTTAATCCTCAGTATCTGATGAGGTATTATCAAAACTCTAGAAGGAGAAAATCTTCAACTCTACTATGTTCTACCATATCATCTCTACATACTAGCTTCAAAGCAGCTTTGAGCAGGAGAATCTATGTTTTATGACTGTTGATTATCTGCTACCTAGATCTAAGAATTTAATTTTGAGCTTTGGTCACTCAAACGGATCAGTGTTAAAAAGAACAGTCCTGAAATCAGCAGCAGTGTTGGTTTTAGTCACTTGGGTTATAAAAGATTTCTCTACCACTTAATGTAAAAACAATCTCAAGTAAAGATTTTGAAGAATAAGTCAATATAGTGATTTCACCTTCTTTCACTTGGAAAAAAATTTGTATAAGAACAAAATGTATCATAAGAGCAAAAATTAAAGTTTCACTCTGAGGATCACTGTTCACAGCCTTGATCTACACTGTTTTAGTAACTATCACCTCTCGGGAAACTTGATGAAGGAAATTAAAATCAATTTTGAAAGCAAACAAACATTTATAGGTATCCCTTAAATGACCATTAAAGACACATGAAGAACTTAAACATTATACTTCTCATAACTGGACGTGACTGACCTCAATTATAGGTGTTAGCATTTCACTTGATTTACTCTCTTTAGTAAATGCCAGGCACTGTGCTAGGCATTTTATATTTGCATTATCTCTTTAAGTGCTCACTGCAATTCTATGAGGTAGGTGATACTATTACCTGCACTTTATAGATAAGAAAACTAGGTTTAGAGAAGTTGAATAAGTAGCCACAGGTGACAATCCCATTAAGTGGCAGGAGACTCCAGAGCCCAGGTCATGAATCATTACTATGTTACATTGATCAACTGCCCAGGAACATACTGGATATCTATATGGTTCACAATTTCCGGAAAATGTTAATGAGGACAGAATATTTTTGAAGTAGTTAACGATCATAAAATATTTACCTTAGGGCTTAGTTTGTATCTGCTAAGTTAACTTGAAGCTGAAGAAGAAAGTCCAAGCCAATCATGTAAGTGCACATTTTTTTTTTTTTGAGATGGAGTTTCGCTCTTGTTACCCAGGCTGGAGTGCAATGGCGCGATCTCGGCTCACCGCAACCTCCGCCTCCCGGGTTCAGGCAATTCTCCTGCCTCAGCCTCCTGAGTAGCTGGGATTACAGGCACGCGCCACCATGCCCAGCTAATTTTTTGTATTTTTAGTAGAGATGGGGTTTCACCATGCTGACCAGGATGGTCTCGATCTCTTGACCTCGTGATCCACCCGCCTCGGCCTCCCACAGTGCTGGGATTACAGGCTTGAGCCACCGCGCCCAGCCAAGTGCACATTTTTTAAAGCTTTCACTTATTCAGGTATATTTCAATCATTTTGAAAATGTGCATCACTTCAAGTGTAATATTCTTTATACT